TAGTCCTTACTTGATTGGATTACCAAACGTTGTGTTAATCATTCTTAAATCTTTTTCTTTTTGTCACTTTGTTCAATTTAATTGCCCTTAATTTTTTTCATGCATATCGGATTGATAAGTAAATGTGTGAGGGACCAGATTGTTCGAAATGTATAGCCCAAATACATCACATCACATTTTTCAGATAATCTCCGTCTTCTATTAACTCTGTCCTAATACTGCTATTTCTCTTCTTCAACAAGCCTTACTAAACTCGATGTACTATGCTACCCGCTTATTCGGGAGTTTATCTCTACCTGTCAGTGCTGACCACAAAACATAAATCAGAAAGACTCTGTTACTTGTGATTGTGCTATAAACGAACAGTCGATTTTAGTATGATAAAAGTTGAGGTTATCTCAGGTGAAAGGTTTTTCAGCCTATCCGCCTAATAAGTATTACCTGGGGATTCTGAGAATGCACTTATTATTCAGCACAAAGGATAGCACAAAAATGATGTCAAACCCTATTTGGATGCGTACTCTTTGAAACAAACTTGTAAACACCTTAATTATCCGATTTCGAGCCTAAAGTTTATTTAGCTGCTTCAATTTGTCCTATGTATTTTAGCCTAAGTTTCTATTATGGTACCAGGAAGTTGCACTACAAAGCTAACACTTAAGCATCTATGACTGTTTCTGGGTGAAAACTGTATTGTCTTGAAGTTTTCACGCCGTGGTATGTCTAACTGTGTATGTGAAAGATTTAAAATCTGCTAAGTTTCAGCGACTGATCAACCTCTAGCTTGATGCGAGTTTAGTCCTATCCAAATATTAGGGTGGTTATGAAGTGAATGTAGTTCGTCAGAAATCAGATGCCTTCATGTTACATTCTGGTCAAACCACTGTGGTCCTACTTTGAACATCCATCGTCACAGTTGCTTACGCCTGGGTTTTGATGCAGAATTGTGTTGTAACAGTGCTATTAGCAGTTTCGTCCACTGAGGGGGCTATTTCAGCCAGAATAGCCTGGGATGATTCGACACCAGAAATTTTAGAGTGCTTGACCAACCCGATAATTTTCATTTGTTGTTCAAGGAATTTGCCTATCCTTGATGCATCTAGTATCTCCTTCGCCATTTTGATATTTCCTTAAGTTTTTTGATTGCTAAGGCCATGGTGTATGTCACTTGTTTTCGGTGCAGTAAGCTTACTTCTCTTTGAGATTAACCTTGAAGGCGTTATGTAGATAGACAAAATAACTTTCTGAATTAAACCATTCAGTTACACCAGAATAATCCACCCGAGCTAAAACATTTCTCTATCGTTCCCAGCATTAGCTTCTTTGGTTTGATTGTGGTTCTATGTAAATTTGACCTTCATGAACTACGTATTAGAGCGAAGCTACTATTTTTACCATTCACAGGCAAGTGAGGTGATTAATAGTTAAGTGTTCAAATTGTATGGTATGGTACGACAGTCACTAAGAACGTCACGAGTTCAAAGAGGTCGTTAGTTTCGACCTAGATGAGTTACTAATCCAAACCCCATATCTCCCTATTCTAAGTACTCAATTAATAGTACCACAAACCGTTACACAGTAGGAATGTGAGTGATCATGCGAGTGGTCTCTGATTCTTGAGAACTTTGACGTATCTTGATAGTTGTTTAAAATCCCTCTTTACACATTGAGGAATAACAATCAATTGAGCGGTGAGCATTCTAGAAAGGACTGAATAAAGCTAGACACAGCTCAGTATCAGCCGACCTCCCCCACCGATACAGGATGTGAAGTCGACACTAGCAGAGAACTTTCCAATGTCATTTGTCGTATTTCACCCAAACTTTTGCATTCCCTAAGACTTTTCACCTGAATAAGCCAAATCTGTGTGCGCTAGAGAAGTTTGTGCCTCGCCTTTCTTTGCAATGGCTGTCCACATAATATATATTGAGGAGTCCTCTATCCGTGTGACCACCATTTTAAATTGTTATTTTCTATGATTACTATTCTAACTAATTCAGTTAAACTATTTGTACGCTGGTATCTTGACATTTCCAACAGGCTTCTAACTTTTCCCAACGGCCGCCTTCGCTAACTCCATTCTGAAGATAAAATGGCCAACCAGAAATGATTAACAACAAGGAACCATGGTGACGAAGCTGCCAAGAACTTATCACCCAACAAATATGTTGAATAAAATGGAGCTGGATTGGACAAGAGCTGTTGGGACCGTTGAGTGGTATTGCGCATCAGGCCATTGGTCGAGTGGCAAACGAGGAGTTGGGTGTAGGTCTAAGCCTGACGTGGAGGAGGATGATATGAAAACATTTGGTCAGTTGTTTAGCAAGCCAAAGGGGACTTCAGGGAGCAGGACGAAATGGCGTTATGCTATTGAAGCCCTACTTTCCACTCTAGGAACCCAAAGGAATAATAATATTCTTATGTAACTGACTCATCTATTCTTCTCAGTCATTATTTCTTTACTAATTATTAATTACGCAATAGTGAACTGATATTGAATTCCCTAATTACTTTTGCCTCCCTTACATACCTTAACATTGATAATTCTTATTGACTAAAATCAACACGTGATTGGCCTAATTTGGATGTGAGAGTATACATATACGTTGTGTCGTTGGTGTAGAGATAGAATGCTCGCTAACCACGTCTACTGTCCGGCGTTCGATCTCCAGTCGAAACATTCTTAAACCTGTAGTAGTCGGTATTAAGCCCGGTAAAGAAGGAAGATTGGGTGTGAGACTAGCAATCATACTCCGTGAAATAAAAAAAACCACTTCTGCTGAAACTTCGAAGCTCAAGCTTGAAGGCCTATGTTCCAGTCGGACTGCATGGAAATAAAATAAAAATATCAGCGTAGAGAGCCATTGATGAGGAACTAGCTGAAAAAGATTATGTTTCTTCAGAAGTCGAATTCATAATTTGCACTCTACACACTGCTAGTGATGGAATTTCACCGAAGTTTCCAAATTATTCAGATCTCATTACATGATCTGTTTGATAACACTCGAACTGTGCAGTGTGTAAGTTACTAACCAATTTGCAGATTGTGAATTCAATTTATGGTATGACCAGTTTAGTCAAGTAGCTTGCCGGAAATGGGGTGTTTTGGACTGATTCAGCCTGCTGAGCTGATCTTTATTTACACATTGAGAAAAAAACAATAAACTGAGAGGTGAACATTCTAGAAAGGACTGAATAAAGCTATACACAGCTCAGTACTAGCCGACCCCCTCCCACCGATACAGGATGTGAAGTCGACAGTGGCAGAGAACTTTCCAATGTCATTTGTCGTATTTCACCCAAACATTTTTAAAAATCCTGTATGACTACGACTTATAAATGCAGCATAGGTAATCGGAATTCACCCAAATAAGCCAAATCTGTATGCCCTACAGAAATTTGTACCTACCCTTTCTTTGCAACGACTGTCCACATAATATATATAGAGGAGTCCTCTATCCGTGTGACCACCATTTTCAATTGTTATTTTATTATGATCGCTATCGTAGTTAATTCAGTTCAATTATTTGTACCCTGATATCTTGACATTTCCAACAGGCTTCGAAATTTTATCAACGGTTGCCTTCGCTAACTCCATACTGAAAACCAAGTGGCCGGCCCAAAAGGATTAGCAACAAAGAACCGTGGTGACGAAGCTTCCAAGAACCTATCACCCAACAAATATGTTGAAGAAAACGCAGATCGATCAGGAGCCATGGTTCGAGTGGGAATTGAATAGGAAACGACGAATTGGGTGTGCGTCCGAGGGTGACATAGAGGAGATCATGTGAAAAAGAGATGAAAGCTTATGGTTGTCAGCTGTGTAGCCAGCTAAAGAAGACTTCAGGGAAGAGGATGAGATGGAGATATGCTGTTGAAGCCCTATGTCCCAGGTGGAACTTGAGAGAATAATAATATTCTTATATGTAATTTATTCACCTATTCATTTCAGTCAGCATTATTTTATAAATTACCGGTTACATAACAACTTGTTGCTAATCGCTACAAATGAACTGATCTTGAATAATTCCGTAATTACTTTTGCCTCTCTTACATACCTTAAAACTGATAATTCTTATTGACTGACATCAACACACGATTGGGATAATTTGTATGTGAGTGTATATATATATGCTTAGGTTGCGCCATTGGTTCAGTGGTGGAACGCCCGCCAACCATGCATATGATCCGAGGTTCGATCCTCAGCTGATTCACTGCTAAATACGTCTCAGCTGGTAGTTAGCCCAGTAGAAAGGGAAGGCCAGGCGTGAGGCTACCAGGCCTAAAATGTGAAGATAAAACCACCTGCTACTGAAACTTCGAAGCTAAAGTTTCAAGCCTTATCTTCCACTTGGAATGCAAAGGAATAAAATTTTAAAAATATATATAAATATTAGCGTAAAGAGGATAATGAGGAACTAATTGAAGAAGAATATATTTCTTCAAATATCGAAATCACAGTTTGTGCAATCTATGCAGTTCGAGTGAACAAAATTTCACCGCAATTTCCAAGTTATTCATATCGCGATATGTGATCTACTCAACACTACTCAAACTGTGTAGGTTGAGAATTGCCAATCAATTTACAAGCTGTGAATTTTGATTTATACTACGACCAATTTGATCAAATAGCTTGTCAGAAATTGAATGTTTTTGGACTGATTCGCCCCCCCCCCCGCTGACTGAGTCAAACTGCCTACACTTTTGATGAGCTTCGTTTCAAGTGAGTGAAACGGTCGTTCGCTGTTTAGATCACCTCGATATGGCTGGTCAGCTATCAAGCACTACTGGTTGATGTATGAGTGATATGCCACTACTCATCTCAATCAATCAGTAGTATGTTTAGTTTAATGCAAATATATTTCTTCCCTGAGTTTGTTTTATTGTCTAAAGGTCATGGTTGATGATAAGATTAAAATTACTCCTTTCTGTAGTCTCTGAGTGGTGAATTTACTTCTGAAAAAAGCTAATCAAAAAGGAAGACGGTTAATGATTTTTCAGTTTTTATTATAACCAATATATATATAAATAAATAGAATTAAAATATTCCCTTCACTCTCCCTTAAAAAAATAAGAATAAAAATATTTGTGCGAAGTGACAAAAAAGGAGATGGAGTCTCCACATCGTTCAACGGTGTGATTGTGAATAGTTCAGTGAATCGCTCTCTCTCTCTCTACACATAAATAAAATTTCCCTGATTAGAAGGACAATTTAATTTTTGTTTTGGTATAGGGTAGAAATTATAAAAGTATACAAAGTATCCCATCAAAAAAAAAAAATAGAAAAACAAAAAACGAAAATAATTTTTTAAGTTATTTAACAATGAACTAATGGTGGAACATTTTTTCCAAACTCTAGAGAATAATTTCCAGGTGGATCATATCGACCAACAACATAGATACTTCGATGATCCTTTGAAAATGCTCTACCGAATCCAGCTCGTAATGTCGATTTCCAGATAACTTGTGTAAAATGTCCTATAAGAGGGGAGATAAATAACTATTAGATAAATAATATTGAAAGTACACGATATATGCCACTTATAGATAAGGAAATTTCAAACAGTGGAGAACACTTGTAGCTCAGTTTTCTTACTGAGGCTTAACCGCGAAGCTTTCTTACTCACGTTAGAGTTGAGGATGTCATCCGAAAGGACAGTGGAAGCCTGTCAACTTGCAAACCTCAACAATACCAAACTATGTAAAGTCCAACTGAAGTTACTCTGGTTGACGGTGACTAGCAATGGAGCCCAGGATATGCATTTCGTCCCTTTTGGGACTCGTTAGTTGGATGTACCTGCAGTCCTCAATGAGTCAGGGTGTTTCTACTGTGACTCTAATTCTTCACCCATCATTTCAAACTCTAGAACTACATCTACTAGGCCATGAGAACAACCTCTTATGCAATTGGTGTCAGATATTTTTTAAATTTATTTCTTTGATACCCGCTGCGTAAGAGGCAGGTGTTGTTCTGACGTTTGAAATGATGGGTATAGGGTGTGAACACCACCATTCAGCGGAAGTTCAGGTAGATCCAGATGATGAGTCCTAAATAGCACGGAATGTTCATCTTGGATTTCAGTGTGCTAATCACCAACAACCAAAATAACTTCAGCTTATTCATTAGACATTATACTAGAGGCCAACGCATCAATAGAGACCGAACACTTCGGTACCCATTTGGTCGAAAACGAAACCTGATCCGGTCGCTTGCCACTCGTATTCGGCGCATATGTAGCCCTGATACTGTGGAAGATGAGTTATACATCTTGAGGAAAATCCTAATAGAAAATGGATTTCCACCACGTTTTATAGATAAGAATGTACATTCAAATCCTAAAAAACGTGACTTATCATCCGTACCCAAGAAAATACTGTACATGAGCTTGGAATTCAAAGGTGACTTAGCCTCCGATATCATGAGAAGAAGGATATCACAGTCCCTGAAAAGAACATTCCCTGCTGCATCCCTGAGAATAGCCTTTTCTAGTCGACCATTATTGTTCAATAACCTGAAGGACAAGATCCCGCTGTTGACCAACTCTATGTGTGTCTATCAATTCACCTGCTCGTGTGGAGCTAGGTATATCGGTCGTTCGACACGAGTTTTGTCCAAGAGGGTGCAAGAACACTATCCTGCATGGTTACGAAAAGGTGGAAGTAGAGCAATAAGAAGCGCGATCATTGAACATCTGGTCGATAATGATCACCCTATCTCTATAGCCTCCGCCTTTAAAGTCATCTGCAAAGCAAAAAGTAATTTACCGAAATCACTACGTACCTGACTCACATGTATTGCTGAAGCTTTGGCTATCGAATCAGGAAAGCCAGGTCTCTGTGTACAGAAAAAGTTAGTTCCAACTTTCATGGTCTTAATCCGTCGCCTATGCTAAAGTATGGTAATCCCCAATCATATTTTAGCTCTATCAATTTTTCATTTTTTCATTTTGTCTATTCAATTTGTATACTCTTCCTTATTACGTCAATTGTTACTATTACTACTCTCACTTGTAATTGTCCCCGGTATTATTTCACTTGTTCCACTTGTCATTCTAAATCAATTCCTTTTTACAACAAAATATTATGTAACGTTTTTATTTTGTTCGATTTGTCTACTAATCTTATAATTGCACACCTTTTTCAAGTTCTATCCATCCTATGAATTATTCTATATGTGACATTAATTTGCTTTGCCACTTGACATTTAACTACGATTATAATCACAAACATTTTAGTTTTAATTGCATTTCATATTATTATTATTATTTTATGCATTCACACCTATGTTTCAATTCCCTCACCGGATACAACTTCTTAAAAACACCATATATATACGATTGTACAACTTGATGATAAATTCGTTGAAAAGAGTCTCTTCGCTGAATCACCATTTGTTTTGAGTTTCAATATAATGAGTCAACGAGAAATGCAAAATTAAACGAAAAACAAGTACTCCTATCACGGTGATCACGAGTTATTGAGAAGATGAATATTTGAGGGGTACAGGTGTTTTTAATAAATTCTTATTCAGGCGCTAGAATTATGAATCTATGCATTTCAGCATGCATAATTTCAAAATGTGTATCATTTTAATTTAAGCCAGAAAAATGGTAGCATGGCAGCCACATTGCAAACTTGACTGATAGAATTCAGTCTGCACCCAACAAAGGACTAGATATATGACATGACATGAGTTACTACTAAGTGTCTTATCGAAGAAGCACGTTATCTGATCAACCCTAAACACAGAAAATCCAAAACTGACAAAGAAAACCACATCTCTGTCCTGAAGAAGATGCTATACCTGAATGTGGCCTTCAAAGGCAACATTCTGGCCGACGCCAGTCAGTATCTGTCCTAGTACACAAGTTGGTGGACCTCAATGGTCACGACTTCTCACAGAACTTCGTCCCATAGCCAGTCACTAGGAAGCCGCAGAATAATATTTTCAAGTGTTAGTTTTTAGGTGTTTGATTGCTATCAAGCTTGATTAAGGATTGGTACCACTCAGAAAATCATTGAAAAACATGGAGTACTGGATAGCTGCCTCGTCCCGCTGGTGACTCTTCATCAGGAAGTGAGAGTAATTACTGGAATGATAATGAATAACCCTGAACAACCTTACAGCTTTTATACTGATCAATGACACTATACAAATTATCCACCATGAACTAGGCCGTGGATTTTCGAACCCTGTTTTCGAGATAAAGATCCCAGCCACATTGATGAATTTCTGTTCTTAAGTTAGTTAGTTTCACATAAATATTTTGATAATTCTCTAAGGAATTGGAGGACAACATCTTGGAGAATGAAAAAGACGAGATAAATTTGAAAGTCATTCAATGACTAGTCCGTCTTTCAAATGGATTTCTATCTTTTACTGGATACTTTGCCTTTTTTACTTACCACAAGAAAATTGATTTTCTTTATTGAAATCGTATTCTTCTATTTCTTGATACCATGTCTTTGTGGCGTCAACACCTGCAGGATATTAATTAATACACAGTAGAAATAAAATATCAATAAAGTCTTATATAAAAATGAAGTAAATATTAAAATGCTGGGACATGCAATCGTCAGAGAGTTTGTACTGCTGCTTCTTATGAGTGATTGGAAAGTACTCATATCAGCTGATCAGTATTTGCTGGTCATTTTTTAGTGATTTAAACACTGGATAGGCGTTTCACTTGTTTGTCTACTGAGCTCAGAGGCCTGAATTGGTTCAAACCAACCGGAATTCCAGCTACTAACTAGCTACCCTACATATTCTAGAAAGCACAACTGTTTGAGTTGTGTAGTCTTCAACTACTGATTTGAAACAGTAGTATATACTATCTTGGTTAATTTTCTTCACTTTATGGACACATTAACAATGTCTAACAGTTAACATTAACCGTAATTAGATCAATTTGGATTATCAAGTGGAGACACTTATTTAAAAAATATCACAGCCTATAAACGGTATTTTACCATGCCAACTCATTGAAATCCCGCCTATAAAACTGTAGAACTGAAGTAATTTTTATTAAACTGTGAAATATTTTGTCAAGGAACTATGATGTGCTTAGATGGCATGTTGGTCCTGTCTGACTGCGGTATTCTTCACAAGTTGATTGAAAGTGTTTATGTTTCATATGAAGTGTATTGAAATGTTACTGATGCTTAAGAAGAAAGACATAGTTGGAGAGTGGTATTTTCTGCTTTTGTAAAAGTTGTTCTTCCATTTTAACATAGATACATTTTATGAACACTTGACTGGTTTCATTGGTTTCTAAGAATTTTCACAGTTACTTAACTAGAAGCGCTAGTTACTTTGCGTCGAAAATTTCATTTCGAGCTTTGTCATTTTTTTAAAGGAGGGATAAGATTCCCAGTGTGGTGTTTAGTTTCCCATCATCTAATGACTAACTAGCGCATAACATTACTTGATAGGTAGACTTGAGGTATAGCCGATATACTTACCAGTGTCTGATAACTAATTTGGGTGGAGACCGATGTGCCTTTCTGTGGGAAATTCCTTACTCAGACTAGTATCCCGAGTTAGACTAGAAGTAATCCTGTGGTACCAACAACAGCAGCAACATCCAGCGCCCATCACCATCAACGGAAGGGATTTGAAAGAGGTTACTTTTTCCACTTATCTAGGGAGCATTGTCTCAACCACAGGAGGAACGGACGAGGATGTCAAATCGAGAATCGGGAAGGCGAGAAACACATTCATCAACCTGAAACCAATCTGGAAATCTTCGTCACTCAGCATCAACAACAAAATTTGGATTTTCAATACAAACGACGTCAAGTCAGTTCTTCTGTATGGATCAGAAACTTGGCCAGTGTGTCACCAAGAATATTTTCAACAGGTTGCGGACCTTTATCAACAACTGTCTTCGTTCCATACTGAAGATCAGATGGACGGAAAGAATCACAAACAAGATGCTATGGGAACAAACAAAACAAGAACCAATCGCTCAACAAATATGCAGGAGAAAGTGGAGACGGATTGGACACTCGCTGAGTTGAGGAGGCGGTTGGGTGACATCGCGCATCAGGCCATAGCTCGAGTGGAACCCGAAAGGGAAGCGGCGAGTGGGACGTCGAAGGGTGACATGGAGGAGATCGTGTGAAGAGGAGTTGAAACAGTATGGATTAACATGGATGCAGGTGAAAAGTACAGCAGAAGACAGAAGCAAGTGGAGACGTGCAGTTGAAGCCCTATGTTTCACTAGGAACCCAAGGGAACAATAATAATAATAATCCTGTGGTGGTAAATGCTTGTTCTCATTCGACTACCCTTTCTACACCGTAAACCTTAGTAACATAATTTCCCAAGTAAGTGGAATAGTTGCGTGGTGCATGCTACTGACAAAATTTGTCAATAGTATATAAAGAGACGTTCATCAGGAGAAAAATATCAAATAGCTGGGGGATAGATTTGACATCAGAGAGAGCAGATGAATCAAGCAGTATAGTGTGCGAAACATGGCAGACAGGGAAAGTAAACAAAGCAACACAATACGAAGGGCAGAAGTAGCCCAACACGGAAGATCTGTGCAAATGAGGATTCTAACATACAATATACAAAATCCCCCCACCCCTTGCTCCGGTGGCATAATGATAGAATGCTCGCCGATCACGCATGTTGTCCGGGGCTCGGTCCATGGCGGACTAACTCCTCTACTTCGCTAAGCCAGTAAGTAATAAGACTGGTAAAGAGGGAAGGTTGGACATGAGGCTAGCAACCCTATCCCGTAAAAATAAGCACCAATGCTACTGAACCTTCAAGGATCAAGCTTGAAGGTGCCCCATGTTCCACTGGGGACGTACACGAAAGAAAATAAAAGTACAAAATTCCCCCTGTATATTTTTATCAAGCTGCAAATAAACATTCCTTTACAGAGACTCTTGTCTTCTCCTGTTACAGTTGTACTTCCCTTTTTCTTTTTGTTACCCACACGTGATGATTAATTATCTGTTGCCTTAGTGAGTAGTGAATACAATTCAGAACAATAGTGTAGAGAAAAGTCACATTGATTAGTTGTGTTTTACTTCCTTAGTGAAATGATGTACTTTAGATTAAGCAGCTTAACAATACACATTTCAAATTATTTTCTATTCTCATTGTTTATCTTTTCTTTGCAAATAGTGAAAATTGACATTGAAAAAGGGGTATTCTAGTCACAATGGTATGATGGCGATATTATTACTATTATTTTAAATTTCTAGTTGATTGATGCTTATTGTTATCATTCCTTTTTCGTTCCAATTGGAACATTAGGCATAGAGTTTCGGCAGCAGTGGTGTTGGGGTGAGATCGCTAACCTCATGCTCAACCTTTGCTCTTTACCAAGCTTACTCCCAACTAGGCGATGTAACCGGAAGGTCCTGAGTTTGAACCCCAACGAGGTGGGTTCATACTGATGAAGAGTCCCAAGCACTAGGACGAAACAGCTGTCCAGTACTCCCTGCAGATTTTCCAATGGTTCTCTGAATGATAATGTCAGCTCATGATGCAATCCTGTAACCAATCAATCAAATCCCTACAAACCAATACTTGAATGAGAGATTCACAAATAAACCATCCACCTTAGAGAATGCTACTACAGCAATAAAGTGGTTTTGTTCCTGCATCTTGTTGTTTTTGAATCACTCCCTCTTTAACAGTTCGACTGTATGAGCATTAATCCAAAGTGATAGTCAGTAACAGAAAGCTTCTTCAATATACAGGGAATCTAAACTAATGAGCTACTAAGTGGCTTTGAAGTGGTCAATGAGAGATAAACTTATCATGAATTGGCTGAGTCTACGATTATTAATGCTGTTATTAATAATGGGTCTTGTTCGGGTTTCAGGAAGAAGATTTTTTCCCGAAACATACTGAATACCGAACAATTGCCTAGTCCTAATCCAAGTCTCATCCTAAACGGAGCTTCTCAACCTGAACGACAGTCATTGAAATAAATATTTAGGCCATGAGTATTTGTAGGTGTTTTTAATGAATTTCAATGTGGATTTAGTCATGGATCAACATTAGCTAGAGAGATCATTGAAAACCACCAGGGGAGCACTGGAAAGATGTTCCATCCTATTTTAGAACTCTGCATCGGTAAGCACCTAAGACTTCACTAGGGATTCACCTCAAAACTAAGCTTGCTGATCATTCGGTTACCTGGGCCGGAGTTCGATGACCTATGAATTCTGACTCTGTCATTTTGTCGTATAGTGGTGCTACTCTCAACCATCCACTTCATCCTGACAGAGTGGCGAACCTATTGGCTACGACGTCTCAGTACACTTTCAAAGACCTTCATCCAGTAGCCATCAATAAGCAAAGGATCAATATTTAGATGATGAATTTTCTAGAGATTTGGATAATAACATCCGTTGGAGATCACTGTAACCCTTGAAGGCACTTGGAGACAACTGTTTCGCCCCAGTCTGTAACTCTTCAGGTGTATGTTTGCTTCTATAACACAGTACCTTGAGATTATGAAACTAAGCTGATTGACTATTCAGCCACTGACCCGTGAATTCCAGCTGATGATGATGATAGTTCGTGACGAAATCTATATTTTAAAATTCAGAGGTACGTTTAAATAAATTTAAAAATTAAAGTTATCCTATCTATAAAAGTTCTTATGACGTTTCTCTGTCTCACTCTCTCTCCATGAATATACTGTGTTTCACGTGGTTCCACTGTTGTCGACTCTACTTTGATTTACCGCTTTGAACGTCATTAGCGTGCACACACGTGACAATATCGCCAAAAAAAGTTCGAGCGTAATTAATAGCTAGCTAGCTAGCTAGCTAGTAAGTAATACTAATGCTTGTCGTCAGTGTATTTATTGTATTGCTTAATTTAAATAATAATAATAGTAATAGTAATGAATTTAAGAACAACGTCAAAGATTGAACACCTAAAATAGCACTTACAACAGTAAAGGTTTATGTCATCAGTTGCTTTTTTTCGTACTTTAAGCGTAAGTAAATCATAAAACGAATTACTAAGCCTACTTATACTGGAATCACATGCAAGAGCTCGTCATTTATAGGCTGTGTACGTGTGTGTGTGTGTGTGGGCGCGCAAATGCGTACATGAGTGAGTGGGTGGGTGTACGTATACAATGCTGAACCGTTCTAATATACGTTAACAAGTCATTGACGTCATCCTAAAGTCTAGACAGTAATAATAAAAACTTTTTTTGAAATTGATTTACTATCTCTTTCTCATTTTCAACTCCCGTATCAATGAAAATGTTTCTTTTTTTAAAGTTAGTTGTAAAGTGACAGATTATTTAGGATCATTTATATATTGAATGTAAAATCTTGATAATCATGAAGCCACTTTGGAAAGGAAATATCTTTCTTTTCATTGGGCCCATGCCATCTATCCACTCCTTAGGATGATGGCAGTCTCCAGTGAATTTCTTGCTGAGATCAGTAGAATCCTTGTAAATCGAACAGTTGAATGATTTATTGACCGATGACTAAGTCATTTAAGAAATTCAAGTGAGAGTTTGTTACGACCTAATACTCACTCAACATTCGAAGATCTATGTGGTTAGTGAGTTAAGTCAGTGATTTTTTGCCTTGCCAATGGAAATAACGCCTCCAAGCTTTGGAGTTTTGTACAGTGATAGTGCTGTTTTTCTTAGGATAGTGTCTCTAGCCACACTCTCGACTTTCTTTCTTTCTTTTCCTGGCACACAGCTAATTAGGTGTGCTTTAGAAGTGTATCAAGCTTTCCAAGAGGTTGGTGAGCATTAAATGGATGCTAAGTTCACTTTAATGGAAGTGTAAAAATCTTGGGCACTGTGGTAGAATGTGACTCCATATTTGATAAGTTTATTTTAATTATCACACAGCGATGAGGCAGTATTATTAACAACTGGATGACAAGGTTTCGAGCATAAATTATTGATACTCACAATCATATCAATTTTAGTCACACGGTTTCACAATTTGTGTTATATATAAATTTTCTCTTTATTCTGTCTCTCCAACTTCTCTTTGTTGCTACTTTCCATATCTCCAATTTAGGCGTTGGGTCATTCCGATTGCATGTATGCGGTGTTGAAATGACGATAAACAAAGCTTCAGTGATTAACCTCTCTCTCTCTCAATCCACGTAACTATATTACTTCTCAATACTCTCACCCTGTCCCACCCACCCTCTGGTGTGTGATTACATGCAAGTGGATGCAGTGCAATGGGTAAGTTTGTTTCTAGGCTATTTAACTTAGCCGGGTCAATCATTCTTGGTCTAGTTAAATTTTTAAATTCCAATAATCTAGTTGATTTTGATCTACTAGTTTGACCTATGTAATTGACCTCCTAGTCATTACATGGTATCTGGTAAATTATATTATTTTTCTTAATTGGATCAATTGGGTTCTTAAGCCGACAAAGTTTATCTCTGAGACAGTTAATTGGTTGGTTGGTTGGTTGGTTTAAATGCCAACCTAATTTCAGCCTCATTGGGAACCCTAAGTAAGGCCTTTGATATCCCTTCTTTATACAGTGGTGCTACAGAGGCTTTGAATTCTATATTATTTTCGTTATTTTCATCAATTTTTATTACTAATCTTAGTATTTCTATGGCTCTGTATATATTTCTGATTAAATTCTGGTGGGCAGTGTGTTATTCACTAGTAATACTTCCTTTATTTGTGTGATTTCGTCATTTAAATCTTCTGGCTTACTAGTTGGGCTGTTGGCTGTGTCGGTTTCTTATAAATGCGAGTATATAACCCCCCACCATCTTGTTTTCGCTGTATTCTACAGTCAGTCTAGCATGGCCAACTCATCGTGTTCTTAATCTAACTCAGAAGTGAGTTAGTTGTATTCCGTCTAAAATTGAGGGATATGTTCAGAATTCAACACGGTGAATGTGTTATCCACAAATCCCCACTATAACCTTTGTAGTGAAACAGAAACTAGAGGAAATTGAATTAGAAAAAGATGAAAAAAACTGATTAGTTTCGACATAACCAGTTCGCATACTAATATTCCCATTAATACAGATCTGGGGGTAGTTAGGAATGAACTGAACACTAATCCTGAACTCAAAAGTACCACTACAGCTCTCGGTTGATGAAATCATATTAGGTGTTCAGTTATGCCTAAACTCCACTGTATTAAAATTTCAAAATAAGCTGTATAAACAAACGAATGTCATGGCGATGGGATCACCAATATCCCCAATAGCAACAAACATATTTATGGATAGTTGGGAACATAAACCTCTTAGAACGTTTAATCCGTCCCCTAGGTTATGGTGGAGATATATGGATGACACATTCACTGTGTTGAAATCTTAACATATCCCTCAATTTGGATTGGACACTGGTAACTAGTGTGATGTGTGTCTAGTCCTTTCTTTGGTGCAGACTGAATTCTATCAGTCAGTCAGGTTTGCAATGTGGCCACCATTCTAGGTAGCTCGCCATCACGGTGCACACTGACTTGATGATATTAGATAGTTGGAGGCAATCTCAGAAGGGACATGAACTCCTTCAAGGTTGCAGATGCACCTTGCTGATGAGTCCCAACTAGCACGAAACCTAGTTCGAGCAAGGCTTCCTGCCGATTGCCTCCAACTATCTAATATCCCTCAATTTTCCACACACATATAAACTCGATATTAGACCTGAAATCAATAAGAGTAGGGTCAAAATCTACGGAGTATTGGTTAGTTTGTTTTAGGGTTCTTTGGCATTACGCAGCCGTGACCCCGTTGGGGATCAAAATCCATTCCACCACTATTCTACTAACACACATATACATGTATTGATCTTATCCTGAAAATGATTGATAGATACTTTTGTAAAAAAATTCCTTTTTAGTAAGAAATTGAGGATATATTTGCATGTGTTTCTTTTGCATTTAAAAAGGAACTGCACTAATCGATAATGAGATTAGGGTCAACTATCTAAATATATATGTATATTTTATCGACCAATATGAATTGATCAATGTTTAAGTAACACAAACGAATCAATGGGTCAAAATGTAAAATCATTTTGTGAATGAATGAATAACTGAATGATTGATAAGTGTTTCTTAAAGTTAGAGCAAATGTTTTTAGACGTCTTCCCCTATTTTCTCGCTGAAAACATTGATTTCTTAGTTGAAACGAACTAAGTTCAGTGGATTTGTATTGAATGTCTTTGAGAAAAGATATATGCATGGGAGTTCTGTTTGTTTAATCTGTAACTACGAATTGAGTTTTGAGGGATTTGATCGATTTCAAGATTGATCAGCAGCCGACTTGGTTCCCGGGCACGCTAAGTCTTCACGAATTAGCAGAAGCTACAAGAGATAGAACATTGGATCCCATCCCCATAACTAAGTTGTCTACGAACTCGTCTTGTAACTTGAAAGTTTTCAGTCCAATTTCTGGTTAGATCATGGGTGCGTACTGATGAGGAGTCCCAAACGGGAACGAAACAGCTGTCCAGTACCCCCTGGTTGTCAAAGTGAAGTCAGTTTCTGATCAATCTTTAGAAATAAAACTGTCAAGTTGCGTTAGATGTCAAGAGCCTCTCGATAAAAATAAACCTGCCTCTTAGGGCAAACATGCAAAACCACACACTCACAAACAGTCTACACGAAACTCTTATCCCCTAAAGTGTTTGAGACCATTTTCTGCTGGTGCTAAGTGGCTAATAACGCTTAACTCTGAACGATTTGCAGTTAGATAGTGTTGACCGTGAAGTTGTGTACGGTAAATTCGTAATATCACAGACTTGGTCGATGGACCAAGTAGGTCAGAAGCGACTTCAGATTATTTTTTCCAATGTACAGTAGCACATTAAGTGGTAACATACAATATCAAATAAATTTATTTATCAACTGTACTTTATAACTAATCGATAATCTCTAGTAGGCAGTTGAGACCACAGAACAATGTTAGTAACTGTTTGGTACCTATTCTGGAAACAAGCATCGTGTCATAACTTTCATCATACTGACTAGTTTAAGGACTGCTTGTCAGGTCTCATTACAGGTTGACATCAGTCTCATAACCACTGGGAGCGAGGTAAGATTGGACAGCTGTTTTCGTCTTGGTTATGGACTTCTCATCAGTGAGCACTCATAACACATTACACTACTCAGTCTTTGGTTCAAAATCCAATGCTCCAGCCCTACCCAGAATCCAGTCTTATCAGTGACCATCTGATACAAAGAAAACATTAAAAAACTATTTTTCATAATAACTTACCTGTAAAATCTCTTTTCTCAGCACTAGTATTACATGTGTAGAAGGCTAAATTCTCTCCTGCATCTGTATCTGTACAGTGTTCAAGTTCACTGATACTGGCCAAGTATTCTGCATATCTTTGTGCATCCACGGCTAATTCTTCGTCGAGTATTAAGTCTGGACATCCATGTAAAGCCCGTAGACTATAATAAAAATAATAAGAAAAATTTTTTTATTTTGAAGTTAAATCTCGGATTGATATTAGTTAGAGAACCACTGAAAACTAAGGAGTACTGGATATTAATTTTCGTCTTATTCTGGGATTCTTCAGTAATATGGGAATCGAACCCAGGATCTCCAATTGACGAGAGGTAATACTAAATAGTCACACAGAAGGGAGAAACAGCGGTCAAGTACTTCGCAGCTTTCAGTGGTTCTTTAAATGGAATTAATCAATCCCCTGTGAACCAACACCTGGATTTTTTGATCAAGTGAGCATTGGAAATTCACTTAGTGGAAACTATATGTACGCTTTAACATTTCATTATGTATCACACAAGCACTTTAGGGGGCGTTAAACAGATGTTTCGACCCACTTTTCGACTCTTCAAAGCCTTATGTCAGACTGAGATGAACAGCTGTAGTCTTGTCATGACTGGCAATGTGACCCAGCAGTATCTAATTGATACGAATTTCAGGCGCTAATCACAACGTCAAGCTCTGCAGCCATAATGTCACTGACAGGCATAAGCAAGAATAGATAACAGACTGCTGTCAAGCAGTTCTGACTGTTTCAAAAAACAGTTAAAACGGTTGAGAACGATACTGAATGAGCATGTATTTTTAATGACTTTGACAAACACTGATGATAGGTTTGAAGAACTTACTAACAGTGACAGTTCAGTCTTCAGAAGGGGTGGGAAACACAAACGGCTAGCAATGGCTCCAAAAGGACACGATTAGGCATTATTTGAAGGTTATAGGGTAATATCGCGTAAAGTTAAGGGTACATATCACATTTTTAGTATCAGCTTGTTACTGTTTATCAGCTGAGGAGAAAGTGAATAACTTATAATTCCACAACTCTATGTATTCTTGCGATATTACCTCGAGCAGACCGTTGCGTGGAACCTGGATGGAAGACGACGAGTGGGTCGTCCGAGAGTGACATGGAGGATATCTTGCGAGGAGGAGATGAGACACTATGAGCTATCGTGGGACCAGCTAAAGAGCGCAGCAGAAAATAGAACAGAGTGGAGACGTTCTTTTGGAGCCTTATGTTACACACGCAGCCCAAGGGAACCACAATAATAATAATAATAATATAGTGGATAGACAGACAGATATCATGACAGGTGGACAGGCATAAGCAAATACAATCAAGTACAATCGTCAATATTAGTGCACAAGTCTCTTTGTTCATCGAATCATTTCGAAATATCATGAAAAAAGTGAAAAAAAAACAAAATAAAGTAATTTAAGAAAAATAATCCAATAGAGAAGATCAATGTTGGGAAGTGTGGAAACAAATGTGTCGATTCCAATAAGAAAATATATGAAATCTAGCATCTCTTGCTAAGAACAGTGGAAAATGTTAAATCGTGGAGGCGATCGGTAGGAAACCTTGGACCTAACTTTTGTGTTTAATGGCATTTACTAGTCTGCAAGGCATATCTACAGTCCTGAAGGAACGAATATCCCTTCTGAGATTAGAACTTAGGTCACCGATTTCAGTGGGCCCGCATAGCCCAGTGGTAACGTCTCTGACTGCAGCCATGGGTGACTGGCGAGTGCTAAAAAACCACGAAACCACGTCTAAGGCTTTCTGCCTATTGCCTTTAGCCTATTCATCACAATGTACCTAGCATTCTGGCCACATTGCAAACTTGACTGACAGCAGAATTCAGTCTGCACCAAATGAAGAATTAGACGCTTGACATTAGTTACTACTTTGTGTCCAAGCAAGATGTCCATAATCCCACCAGGTCTTGTTTTTCCACCTTGCATTCGTAACTCGCACATGCACAAAATCCGTCTTCTATTTTCTCTGTGCCTCGACATAGATGAGACCAATAATGAAATAAAAGGTAGGATTCAGATCAAATATAAAGTTTGACAATTATGTGTATCCCCGATCCAGGAGAGGTATTAATTTAACATACTCTTCCGTACTCAAACGTTATCATAGATTTTGGTTTCGATGATATACATGAGTTTTTAGTGCCTAGTTTAACTCTAACGGATTCAGATTATACTGATAAATCGATGATCGAAAGACTTAACAATGATTTCGAGGAAAGGATTAAGTTTGAAGGAATGTTACTACGTCTGTTATACTACTGATCAAACAAACATACACACACACGCAAACGTGAGTGATCTACGTCATCCACACTTCATAGGGTGATGGTTTAAATCATGCCATGACAGCAGTTTTAATTTGATCGATCGTCGAAGATCTACAAAAATATTTCATTATCAGTCCACCGATCGAAGACCACCCAACCTAATCTCTCTCTGTAAGCTTCCATTTATGATAGAAAACTCTAATTCTACCCTTATTCAAAACCCAGTTTGACAGATAGATTATCTTATTTCCTTCTCAGAATGAATTCAGTGAATATTTGTATATAGTCAGATACTTGTTATGAGTTTACCGTGCGTAGCACTGGATTAAGAGATTGATATTAGTGTAATGCACGGTGATCAGATGACTAATGAAATAAATGCCTAGGCTGCACCAGGATTCAAACAATTAACCTTCAGATCTTGCAGTGACAATGACTCGAGCTTTTTTTATTATACCTAGAAGTCATCTGAAAATGTATGTGCCGAAGTTTTGGTGGAAAAGATCACTTCTACAAAACAGATAAATTTAGGCGTATGTATGCAAAAAAAACAACAAATAAACGTTTTGAATTCCAGTAGAACACTCGCTGAGCACGCATGTGGTTCGGGGTTCTGTCCTCGCCCGATGCACTCCTTCACCTCGATTAGCAAATAGGTAACCTGATAGAGGGAAGATTGATTTTGAGGCTAGCGACCTTAACTCACCACTGTGAACCGTATCCTGAATAGTGCTGTAGGTACATATCGCTATAGACTTCCAAGCTAGTAGCAAACAGCCATTCAGTGTTTCATGTTTGTCGGTCGGTCGGTCGGTCGGTCGGTTTTCGACATAGAACTTTGCACATATGTGCGCCAGTTCAAGTCGCCACACTCCATGTAGCACACAAAGCAAGAGAAGAAAGTAGGAGAAATGCATAATATAGACAGTAAACAGAGGTGTGAGACGAAGGAATAGTAATAACGGAGAACAAAACAGTTTCATTAGAAGTCATAAGTCACAAGGAGTGGATGCATCTACGCCAGACATTGAGAACGATTTTGAGCCATGTTACCAATTGTTTCCAACCATCGGTTTTTACCGTCCCGAGGACCCCAACCAGGAAGTTTACACCTTCCTACGTGGCTGGTTTAGACTAACTGTTGTACATTTCATTGAGTGGTGCCATGTTTTGGTTTGACCGCCGCTAGCTCTTTTCCAGCCTGGCCCTATATCAGCTAACATTACCCGTCGAGGAAGTTGTGAGTTATTTCACAACTGATTTCAGCTTGTTATTTAATATAGACTGAAACCAGCTGGTAGATTTGGGAAAAGTTTAAAAGTTGAATAGTGGTCCCTAGCTGACTGATTAGAAAAGCCTTCTAAATTCTAGATTTCCGCATCACATTCAGTCATAAATCATTTACATCAAAAATAGTGTGCCAACCTATCGTTATGTTGGATAGTCTTGCAATCAGTTGATAACCAGCTCCTTTGCTTTCAAGCCAGTATGGTTATTTAATGAGATGGGAAGATCTAGCTGCACATCTGGTTTCATAATAAACAGACAGTAGCGTAACACTCGTTCGCACGACATTTGGGCGTTATGCATACTGATGGAATTGATATGATAACTTGATCAACAGTCTGGTGAAGTAGCTCAACTGGTACAGTATGGGACTAATAACTTATAGATGTCTAGTTTGAGCTCTGCTGAAACTCATATATGTTTATATATTTCTTAGTGGTAGTATATCTATCTGCTTGATGAGATTTGAATGCAAGATCGAGTGAGTTTTCTATCACTTACAGGAGCTCCATGCTTATCATTTAAAACAACCAAAAACCTTCAAACATTCTGACATATAGAAGTGAATTACATCGTCCCATCCAAGGCTTTTTCAGATAAACTCTGTCAGGTGTAAATAAGTTTAGGTAACAACTAAATACATTGTACCAGCATGATGGTGGATATAAACGTTGTTCTGGTACTGAGTTAGTTAGCATCAAAATTTGTGACTGTAATAAGCTCGATGAAAAATGTTGGTGTTTTTCAAACTGTTGCTAATAGAGGCAAGCACTCAGTTAAGTGATAAGTCTGATGTTAAGATGTTGGAAGCGTTCAACAGGAGATCTGGTTGTCGATTATCGTCCGCAAGGCGTAAATATAAGTCGGAAGGTACCGATATCCCCCAGCGGGAAATTCGAACTCATATCAACCAGTATTGCAGTTAGAAATGCTGCCGTTGACCTATTTGGAATCTGTAGCTATCCATTCCAAGCAAGTTTTTGGATTAACTCATAATTAAGTTTGTGCTGTCTATCGAGATAAGATTTATGCATTTTTTTATTATTTTAAAACGTGCTTTTACCATGGAAACAGTAACTGTGATTAAAAATAGGATGTAGGTCGAATTTTAATTGTATGTTTATCTAAAATCAAGAAAAATCTGCAAACGGTAATTTTTTTCTTGTTGATATTCATTATCAATGTTTATCTGCAACCTGAATGTAACTGTTGCCACCTTGGAGAGTCTAACTTGATCTATGTAGGTTCTATATTTGGACATGATCAACTAGTATAGACTTGAGCACCTTTCCAACTAATGAAAATTGTGTCCACTTCCCATGAGTATGAGGTTTTCGCCATTTTCTTAAATTTCGATATACCCTATTCCACTGGAATAAATTCCATGTGTTGGAGGATTTCATCATGAGCTGACATCATCTAGAGAACCACTGGAAAACCAACATGGAGTACTGGACAACTGTTTCGTCCCAGCGTGATGCCCTTCATCAGTAAGCACCCACCCAGGACCTTCTGGTTCCAAGGCCAGCGAGCTCGTAGACCATTAAGTCACTGGAATCCCATCCAATGGCCAGTCCATGAATTCTAACATCTGCCAATTCTAGACATAGCGCGACCACTTCGCAATGTCTTCTTCGATGAGTTACTGCCTCACCTTCAACCTGCTGCACCATACTGGCCCTATTCGGCCAGTGACCTGGGGTTATAGTGGGAAGCCATGACCAGTAGGGCACAGCAGGTTGAAACTGAGACAGTCACGAATTGGCAGAAGTCAGAATTCATGGGTTGGCCACTAGATCAGGTCCCATAGGCTTAATGGTCTACGAGCTCGCTAGCCTTGTAACCAGAATGTTCTGGGTTCGCCCGCTGCCGGTGGATGCGTACTGCTGAAGAGTCTCAAACTAGGACAGAGGAAGTAGCTGTCTAGTACTCCCTGTTGGTTTTCCAATGGTTCTCTAGATGATGTCAGCTCATGATGAAATCCTCCAACCAATCAAACAAAAATCCCCTACAAAACCAATACTTGAAAATCAAATATGTATTGCATAAGTTTCGGTCGTTCAACGTTGGAATGCTTTCCAGACACGCACATAGTTTGGGGGTATGATTCCCAAATGGCTCATTCCTAAATTCCACTTAGTCATACCTCGTAAAAAAAAAGAAAACCACTGCTTGAAGCCCTGAATTCTACTGGGAACACAAAAGAGTAACAAGAATGAAAAATAACTATTGAACGGTTTGTGATTATAAGTGAAATTCACTGATCGACTTCTCTCGTTATCAACATATCAGTTTGCAAATTAGGCATGACAAATAAATGAGACATGTCATGTGCGAATTCTATGTGTCTCATGTAATAACATTTCTGTAACCATAATAATAATAATTTAATCTAACTTCATGACGTCAGTAGGAATTTCAATGAATCGAAAAATTCGAAATTATTTTTGTCGTTGTTGAAAAATAATAATGAATAGTTTTGCAATATGCTTGTTTAACATATTCCTAGAAAAAGCCTAGTCGCACACATATGCGCAGCTGTTTTAAATTTATTACTCACTATTACTGTTTAAATGCAATCACTTATGCAGACTTAAATCCCTGCTCTGTGACGTAATCGCGTCTACACCTAAAGAATCCAAGTTTAAACAATTAGAAAAACTTATCACTTGTGTCCTTAACAAATTCTGGAAACCATTATTTAAATGTTTTTCTTACAAGTTCTAACGTTATTATATATATGTAAATACGCTTTATCGTTATTTTATCACTCAAGTGGACATTGGTTAGTTCATTACAGTCGAGTTATTTGGAGGAATTACGGAATTCACTGACAGATTGTCACACCAAACAACATCGTGAGTGATGCTTGTTTCTTATTCTGCGTTATTCACATATACCGCTGATCATAATGGCTATTTATGACGCTACATTACAGAACTTTACATGTATAATTTGTATTTAACGCTAATTTTATAAAATAAGCCTAATTAATGTAAGATTTAGTACACTTTTTCATAGTAAATTATAAAATTAACAAAAAAAAAAATATACAAATCATATCAACTTACCGATTATGTTCAACAATACATTCTTCATTGAACTCTTGATCAAATTCACCCGCCATATTCAAAAACACGTTTTGAAAATATTGGAGATAATCAAGTCACTTGTAAATTAAATAAGTTATACTTATTAAATAGACTATTTTGTTTTTATTTTGGGCAGATATCAGGAGAAAGCAAACAGATTTATTATTATTTTTTGCTAGTTAACCAATAGAAATAAAAGAAAAAAAAGTGTTTTAATTTTTCCATTGAATAATTTTGTTTATATTGATATTGAGTTTGTTTTCTTATAGGCTCAATTTGAAGGTCAGTGTGTCACACACTGTTCAAATCCTGATATAACTTTAATTCTCATATGATTATTTGCGTAGTTCAGTATGGTTTTGATTTGTAAATATACTTGTTGCATAATTACTAATTTATTATAAGTAGTATAGAATAAAAACAAAATAATCCTTTCTGTGTTTAATTAAATAAATACAGTAATACTGTTTCTGTTCACAACACTGATGAATTCATCATTGTTCTTCCTCGCCTCGATTACTTGTTTGTTCATTTGAAGATCAAAGCAGGCAGACGCCAGGAAGGCCAGTTGATGAATAAATTTGCATATTTTACTAACTTGCTTACTTACTGATAGTGACCTAATTGAATGGGAATTAGTTAGAGAGCGAGTAAGCAAGAGAGAGAGAGGTAGAAAGAGAAACGTCATTCAGTATTAATGTTTTAATTAAGTAATTACAGTAAGATTAATACTGATTTTTTATGCAGTCAAACGATTACCTTTTTTTTAAGAAGTTGACGTGAACCATAATATAAATGAATTGTTAATGAAACGAATTGAGGTAACTATGATGAACCCCTATCCCCCATAGAGAAGATGGTTTGGAGACTCAGCGTGTCACCAAAAGCATTTCTAACGGCCTAGTGAAGAGTTCTGTCAGCAGTTGCCTTCTCTGGCTCCATACTGAAGATCAGATGGCTAGCCAGAAAGGGTTTCAGCTGCACGTCTCTATTGCGGTCGGTTTTATGTCAACGTTTTCACCTGGCTGCACGTCTTCCCACATACTTTCATCTCCTCTTCACATCACGTCCTCCATGTCACCCTCACACTGACGACCGACTCGCCACTTCCCATTCAGGCTCCACTCGAGCGAAAGCCTGACATGTAATGTCACTTGATGGTTTGTTTTCTCAGAGTATGACTAATCCACCTCCATTTTTTCACAAATATATTTGCTTCAAGAGATCCCTCCCTGTTGCTGATCTTTTCTGGCCATCTGATCTTGAGTATTGAGCGAAGACAACTGTTAATGAAGATCTGTAGTTTGTTTGACATGATCTTTATGACGCGCCAAGTTTCTGATCCATAAAGTAGCACTGATTTCACATTGGATTTGAAAATCCGGATCTTATTTTTCATGCCAAGGAGTGTTGTTGACCTCTACACAAACTTGAGAGAAATGAAAGCTTGTCTTGCTTTCCCGATTCTCACTTTGATATCCTAGTCAGTTCCGGCCGCCTGTAATTGAAACAGTGCTTTCCAGGTAGGCAGGTGCAGGAGGTTGCTTCTTTCAGATTCCACTCATTTGTGCTAATTATTGTCTAATGTTGTTTCTGTTGCTGTTGGCCATGAATCTTTATCAACTCTGTTCACCTGAAGGCCTACCTTTGATACTTCCTATGCCAGTATGTTGCTTTTCACTTACGAATCTTCTAGTTTGTGGGAAATCAGGCATATATCATCAGTGAAGTCCAGATACTCTAAGTTTATTGTGTGAGTCTATTTTATGTCTATCTTCTCGTCGCCCGCTGTCCACCGCCATTATCCAGTCTACCGCAATCAGGTAAATCACTGGAGATAGTAGGCAGCTAGCTTGTATTATTTCTATTGTGGATTACTTGGCATTTAACGTTGTCATCCAACTGCTGGAAGAGGTGTATAATTGTTGGTGGCACCCCTCGGTAGCAGCGAAGTAGTTTCCAAATCACCTCTCGATTGACACTGTCGAAGGCCTTTTCAAAGTCGACGAAGTTGAGTTAGAGATCTGACTGCCATTACAAGCTCTGTTCAACAGTGACACTTAGTGTTGCGATTCGATTGATGCGTAGCTTGTTTCTCTTTAATCCAGCTTGTTCCTGTCGAGATTTTTCATCCAGGACATGTTTGATTCTCTCCAGGATGATGCGGCTTAGTATTTTGCTTGGGATGGACAGGAGCATAATTTCGCGCCAGTTCTTGCATTGACTTAAGTCTCATTTCTTTGGCAGTTTGAATAAGTAGCCTTTGTTCTAATCCCCAGGTGCTTTGCCCTCTCTCCACACATTCTCCAGTAGTAGTGTAATCAAGTCCACTGTTGTCTCTGGGTCCATTTTCAATGCTTCTGCTGGGATGCCATCTGGTCCTGCTGCTATTGCAGTTCTTAGCATCTTGATTGCCTTCAGGATTTCTTTTTTCGTCTGAGGGTTGATATCCACTGGTATTTGTGCTTCCACTGTTAGTATTATTGGGCGCTTTGTAGGTGGCGGTCGATTAAGAAGTCTTTTGAAGTGTTAAGCCCAGTGGTTCCTTTGCTTCACCTCTTTGGTTACTGACTTCCCCTTGTCATCCTTCACTGGCTTAATTTGAGTTGAACTTTTCCTCGATGGGAACCTAGTTGTTTGATAGAGTGTTGCGAGGTCTCCTTTGCCTGTAGGAGATGGCTTGCCAAAAAGGATTAGCGACGAGCAACTAATGCAACAGCAAACCAACTAAGAACCTATTAACCAAGAAATATACCGAAGGAAATGAAGATGGATCAAACCCGTGCTTGGGAAACAGTCGAGTAATATTGCTTACCAGGCCCTTGAGCATGACCAAAAGTGGGAGACGAGGACCTGGGCTTAGGTACGAGTTATACGTGAGAAAGACTGTAAGTGAGTGCTGAAATTGATAACTTAATGGAAAAATTAAAGATGAAGTAGTCAGAAGAATAAAATAATTAGGACAACGATAATTTGAGAAAAGTCTTAGGAGGAGGGGGGAGCTGTCACCTGTTTTACTTTCATATAACGATGACCAAGATAAGGGAATTGGCTGCACGAACATCTTCTGAACACACAGACTTGGATGACTTCTTCTTCAGATGAATTACACTAGTTCCAGCTGTATGCAGAAGACCAACTCGTAAAGCAAAATTAATATTGATCAAAATGCGGTGAATAAGCCTTAATGCTTTAATAGTATCCACATGGCGTGCTGAAACGGAGTTATGAATAGATCTTATTTGTTGAATTAGTTGTATTTTCTGAGCTGGCTGATTTAACTGCGCAGCTTTCGTCGTCCCTTCTTCTAGATAACATCTTCAGCCAGTGCAGGTTTTAGCACAAAATGAACTCATTTAAATTTTCCATGGATGATATAATTGTATCTCCTGGCGACCACTGTCATGACTGCTTGTTAATGATTTTTATTGACTTGGAACTGGGACTTTCTCGTCCTATGATTTACTTTCTATTAGCTGGTAAATTTTGTCCTTTGTTTATCCTCTGCTTAATGTTTCAGGTTGTATGCAGTCGATAAAGTTCAGCAGAATAAAATGAAGTTGTCATATTATTATCCCTCAGCCTTTTATTGTTCAGAATCAATTTTATCTTCTTTTTAAGTTAGTTGACAGAAAACGATGAACAAATGAATGTTTATGCTGATAAAACTATGAGGTGAAAGGATTCGTGATTTCAGTGGCAATTAGATCTGGACATCGCTTAGCTCTTGTATTTTAATTACGTAATGCGCTCGATCAGTTGTTTCAAGGTTGTTGACACAAAGTAATTTATTTCCCTTTCTGTTTATTTATGGTATACACTAGCTTGTTATTTCCAGAGGGATTTTCCTTCGAAACTAATTGAGAAAAAGACAAAAACAGAATACAATGCAGAATAGTTCAGAAGATTTTATTTTATTGTTGGCAAATGCCAAAAGAATCCGGCATGTACAATTTGTTCCATTTGAGAACTCAAAATGTGATCGTGTTGATAGTTTATTTATGAAGCTTTCACTGCCCTACTACGAATACACGGAATTTCACCAAAATGCATATACCCCCAAGCACACCTACCAAATCAAAGGCCCCTTAGGAAAGCACAAAGAAAATCACCCTACCACATATAAAGAACATCTCAGAAATCAGTGCAAGACTCTTGAAACCCTTAAGAATTGATTTCGCACACAAACCAACAAAGGCACTTCACTCGGCTTGCTCTATGTCAACCAAAAGACTCAACAACGAAAGAAGATAAAAACAGCATCATCTACAAGATAAATTGTAACAACTACGAAAAACACTACACTGACCAAAGTGGACGTCCCCTTCGTCTTCGTATCCATGATCATAACCTAGCTTTGAAAACACATGACATCCACTCCCTAGCTCATATCACTGCATACAGACAACCACGGACATCATTTCGACTGGGACAACCAGCGTTCAAATATTAGACGGAGGAAACACCAAGAATGCTAGAGAATTTTTAGAAGGATGACTGGTATTTCAGTGAATCATCAATTAATAGACACATCAACATAGACAAAATTTACCAATCGATAAGAAGGAAACCTCACACACAAAGGGTCAAAGTTCAAGTCAAAGAAACAATCAGTTCCAATACAAGTATCCTAGAGGGTGTGAAAACACACGAAAACAACCTATCATGTTCAAAGTCACCAGTAGAGATGAGTAATAAACTCGTGGGGAAATCTAAAAGCTTACTTCATATTGGTGTATGTGCTGAAGATGTAGCCTAGTATGGCAATGAATGCTTCGTAAATTAACTATCCATCTCAGAGAACACAACCACATCAAAATCATCCATCTGAGCTACAAATCTTCTCCATCATATGTGATGGTGTTCCTACTGAGAGATTAATTCCTAGATTCCACTGCTAGGTATCATCAACAAATGGGTATCATATTTACTAACCTTTCGACATCAGCAAAGCGTCAATACTACGGGTGGACATGTCAACAGAAATCGAGCGTTTAGAACAGTGAAAGTTTACAATTTGCACTGTACACAAATC